GGACCAAAATACTCATAAACTAGAAGGGCTAGAAGGTTTCTGGGGAGAGGTCACATTTTATTTCTTCAACTGATTGAGAACACAGGTGAAGCACAGCTTGGCAGCTATTATTCTCACTTTCTCTCTCTTGTTTTAATCCATTAGGCAATTTGTGAGAAATTAGGTCTTTTTCCTGGGTTGTGCTGGATTAACAGATCTACCCCATGACTTCTGACCCAGACAAATCTCTCCCAATACATTAAAAAATGAACAAGACTTCTTGGCCTCTTGGTCAGCAAAACTTTGTTAAGCATGTAACACTGTAATCTGAGTATATTCACAGGTGACCACTTCACAGCTAATGAATAATTGGATGAATGGTTAACAATCCAGTAACACCATTGTAAGTCATGGTCAGCAGCAACATCATAATGGAAAATCAAAGTATTGCTGATATTACAGGAACTTCAGAGAAGAAAGCCTTAGAATTAATGTAGTTTATGTAGTTTATTTAGTTAGTCTAATGCAGTTAGAGAGCTCGTGTACTTTATGATCAACATCTTTAATTTATAAAACTACACTTTTAAAAATCTTCAGTGAAGTCTCTGTCTTCCCCTAACAATTTTCAAAATGCATGCTTATGTTACATTGTCTCTGGCCTCATTCCTAAGTATCTAGGCATACTCTGTATGTAGAAATAAAAGCTCAGGATGGGGTTTTCAAAAGTTCACTGTGTTGGTTTTTTATGATCCTTCTGATTTCAAAGGGAATTTTACCATTTACTTCCACGAGAGACAACTACATCAGGAGAGCTGGTACTGAGTGCTTCTGGATGTTGTGCATTCACTGGGTAGCTTATACCCACAAGAAAAGAATGTTAACATAGCAAAGTCAAGTGCTTAAAGGTTAGAAAATGCTAAAAAGATTGTCGGCTGGTAGACTAAGCTCCTTCATACCACTACACAGGCTCTAGTTATATGACCAAGGGAATTCTGGCATCTAAATTAAATGTTTTTTCCCCATCTTATCTAAGAATCTTTTTTTTTTTTTTTTTTTTTCATATTTAGGTGAAATCTAATACTAATGTTTTCCTGAAACACAGAAATACCATGGAAAATTTCAGGCTAAATAGTTTGGCAAAATAATAAGCAGCTAAAATCAGGGTCCTCTGCTGGGAACTGTGAAGCTACTTGACCTCTAGTCACACCTCCCTGATCTAAGGAAGAAAGTCACATCAGCATTTTCTGGGTCACAATTCATTATCACAGAAGTGACATAATGTATCACTGCGTAAACAAGCCAAATTTGGCTTCATCAGAGAGAGTATTATTCCTTGTCACTCAGATACAGATCTGTATAATCAGATAGGAATCAAAGATCAAAATAAGGTTTCTAAAGGAATCTGGGCAGACTGTGGTCCTCAGAACTGTTACCATGGATTTTCCAGCTATTGAGAACCTTTATTAGCTGGGCCACATACGGTATAAAAAACCACTTTCATACGTATTTTCCAGATTTCAGTCCAACTTAAATGAGCTTTTTGATACCTTCTAATGGCCCTATGAAGCAATGAAATATGATGCCTATATAAGAGAAAAATAATTGTTCTCTGTGAGAACATGATTCTTACAACCACATCTAAATACTTGTGCTATTTGATAGACTATCAAACTATATATCTTGCAGTTACCTCACTTGAGTAACTACAAAGATGGATAATTTACTGATTAACCAGTCTCATTAATATCTGTTTTCACATATAATTACACAAACAAACCTGAGTTAGAGTCTCCTGTTCATGTAGCAAAAGGAGTTTCGTTCCAGATCCTTCAACCCTCTGCTCCAGCATCAGGGAAAAGTGTTCAATACACTTGATGGAAAGCTTTTCTTGGAGTGTTAAGATGACGTCCTAATTAACAAAGGATTTATAAAATGTGCTTAAATTAATGAAGCGCTTGGGAATCGGTCGTTCACTGCCAGGCACCCTGCATGTACACAGCACAGGGTGGAAACCCGACTGTTAAATGGGAGGACAGCTGTGTTTCGTGCCTGTTCCGCACAAGCATACAGGACATCACACACATTTACCCAGTGAAAAATCAGTGCCTTCATTTTGAACATCCCTGAGATGGTATCAGACATGCACATGAAAAATATATACATGGGCTTGCTATGAATGGACAACTTTCTGTGCAGTTTAACATGCAAACTATACTTCTGTGGCCCTTAAATCATACGTCTCTGTCTCCCTGCAAATAAAACATCTCCGTCAGCAAAGCAGAGATGATCTTGCTGCTCTTCACTTCCTTTTGGGGCAGGGCCACCCAGCAGTACAAACCAAATGTGTATGTTCAGCAAAAAACCTGAACGAATGGCCTTTATTTGTTCTTATGGCAAGGAGGCTTTTTTTAAAGACCACTTCTTGATACTTGTGTTTAACAGATATTCTTGAGTTTTAAATGCTGACAGAAAACAGAATCATAGAATCATAGAATGGCCTGGGTTGAAAAGGACCATAGTGATCATCTAGTTTCAACCCCCCCCGCCATATGCAGGGCCGCCAACCACTAGACCAGAAAAGTCAACGATGATCATACCTGTGCAGAACAGAAGCTCTAAATTCAGAGACCATGTTAATTTATCGTATAAACCCCATTTTTAGATACTTTTATTAGGTTTTTTTCACAAAGGGTTATGTGTAAGAGTAATCAGTTCAAGAACAATTGGTTCTAAATTAACAGCTAAACAAACCTCCTCACAAAACCATTCAACCAATCCCTAGTTTACTTTCATATAATGCCCTGTAAATATGTGCAGAGTATTAGTATCATCTGGCAATGTATCTTTCACTTTAGTGAATGTACTTGGAAAAATAAATGCATAATCCATCATTTAAAAACAGTTTCACATTATGTTGGTGAAAAGATTAAAACATTTCTATCCATCCGAAAGATTTTAGATATACATGAAGTATCCAGATGGATAAGACTGACTAAGGAGATCACGACAAACGGTAATCCAAGTGTTTTAACATAATTTAAGAAGATTACTGATCAATTACAGTGTGTTTATGGAAAATTAACACCAATTTGGTGGAAGGACGAAAAATGTATGTAGGAGGATAGGAACAACTCTGCACAATGTAAAGAATATAAAACAGTATTAATGGATTGCATGCAACCATTCTAAATCATGGAGGTTAATATTATACTATTCTGGCTAATGGGGAATTTATCGCTTACACATTAAATCTGCTTTTATTTATAATCCTAAACTATGCTCAAAGACAAGGGGCATAACAGTAACACGAAGAGACACAATATTAAAAGCAAATTTTTAAGAGCGGGTAATAATGGCATTGCTCACTGTTAGCTGTCTTGGACCTTTTAAAACACGATGCTAATGCACATAGGCACTCAGTTACTAAATCAGTTTTTTTGCTAATCTATCCTCTTGTCTGATAACTTAGAATGAGCCCAGGTGCTGCCTCCCAGCAATAAGGAAAGCGAGGACTGCAGGTAAGGCACTGGTTGCATCCTTGTTGTTATGTGGTGAGTTACTGGACTGCTAGGGGTGGAAAAAACCTCTGCTAGCCTTGGCTCACCTGTGGCATGTCTACTTCACCTCAGTTTAAGAAAAGAAGCAGCAATCATCACCCACCTGTCCACAATGAAGAATGTACAGACACATACATGCAAGAATATGTAATATATAGCTACGGAGGCTACGGAATATATAATTGCCTGAATTAGATGCAAAGGAAATTATTCCTACAAAAAGTCAGAATGACTAAAGTCAAAGCAGGCTTTCAACATCAATACAGCCAGGTCGCTGAGCCTACACGGGAAACTTTGCAAATGACTTCAGATTAGATATATGGTTTTACAGTACACAACACACCCATGACAGAACTACTTTTCAATGTAATGTGACAGCCAAAGACTGGTCTTCAGAGGCAAAATATCCTGGAACAGGTTAGTTGTTTTCATTCTTAGAAGAGTATGGAGGCCTCCCTATCTACATGAAGCATGTCTCCTAATTCTTCACCCAACCAAATTCCCAAATGGACTGAAATAATTCAGTATCCCATGGCTGTAGAGTGGATTCAGTATCCCATGGCTGTAGAGTGGAAGCTTGCATCCGTTACCTGCACTCAATTTATGCCTAAGTTACATATATATGAACTATAAACAGATATTTTTAACTGTACCTTCAACATCTGTTTTGCCTTCAGAATGGAGTAAGTTTCCTCTTGTTTACCTTAGTAAATCACTCTCCTAGCTGTTCTAGCTGATTGAGCATACTGCTAAATCACAGTGAGCAGAAAAGCAGCCTTTCTTCAAATATGCACAGCTTTACAATCCCTTAAAGCCAGCAAAAGCTGGTAGTGCAGCTGAAAATTGCATCCTCAGCCTTCACTGATCATTACCACCCATGCATCTCTCGTGTCAGTGCCCCAAGCATGCGCACTACCATGCAGCGAACTCAATTTGGTAAGCAATCTGTGCTAAAACCAGCTCATTCAAACAAAAACACTTGAGAGACTAGGAGTGTGTCCAACTGTGCTAGTCATGCTGCTTACTACGCTATTCCATGGCACTCATGGACAGACACTGACAACACCTTTGGTTTAGGCACCTACGTGGAACAGTGTCACAGACACTCCCCAGCAGCCTCAGTTGTGTGCCAGGGCTTCACCTCTTTATTCCTCTAAGTGAAATGTGTTATGGAAAGCACAGAGGGCATTACACTGAGATGAGCAATTTGTCACCAGCACAACCTTACAATATCCCATCCCAAGTTCACTGGATGACAAGCTAGATGATATTCAATTAGCAACCAACATCTCAATCTACTTAGCTCCTGACTTTTGCTGACAAATCATGCTAGTTTTTGGCAGCGTATCAAAATGATAGGACCAAGCAATTGTAATTGTGTACCAGGAACATTAAAATGCTCACTTCTATTTCTTCTTCATTGACAATACAATACATTTTAGCAGCAGAAACATACACCAAAACCTCATTATTTCCGAACTATGAGTCCAGCCCCAACTGCATACACTAGTAATTTTGTTCTTAAAGCATTCCAAGTAAATTATAATTACTGAGGGTCTTGAAAAGAGCTAACTGGCATTCTTAGCATTGCATACCAAGGTATATCTAGCCTACCTTTATTGAAGTGCTGCAGTCAAACCGGAAAGATTTGGTTTGTCCATTTTCAAGATACACCTTCAGAACATTTGGCATGAAAAGAAGTGAATTGTCCTTAACTGTTTCCTGCCAAGCAAATTAGTGAATCAGATTACAACATGTAACAAAGGAAATCTACACGTTGTTCTGTAAAGGACATCATTCAGACAGAAAGGCAACAGCTGAAAAGAAGTGTGTTGGCTCAAACTGAAAGCAGAATTAGCAATGTCCTGCAAGTGTCTAGCCGTGCTCAGTACAGCTGCACTCTACAGGTCTCTTTCCTGGAAAAATACAGCTGTTCACATACATTTTATGTCTGTCTTGGAGTATTTTCTCACCCTAAATACTACCTCTCTGACAATAAATGCTACCTCTAAAGTTGAAACATTTTAAAGAAAACAGAAAAACAGATTACTGTTTCTCTGAATATAGTGAACTATTTAGTGTCTTCAATCTACAAAATGGGAACTGCAGATTAATCAGTAAGAATTACAATCAAGATGTTTTACATTCTCTTTATAGCTGAATATTAAATGCTAATACCTGTCATCATTTAAGAAGAGTAACATATAATATCACTACTTAATTGCAACAATTCGTAACAAGGATAGTACAATAAACAGGAAAAAGGAAGGAAAGCAAGGCTTTAAAAAAAAAGCAAAAATTGCTTTTGACAAAATGCAGTATCAATTTATGTTTAGAAGAGAGTTGGATAAAGACATCAGTGTGGAACAATGTTCTGGTAAATTATGAAAATGAGCTGGGAGTTCACATTTAAGGTGGAGTTCAGCGCCTTGCAAAGGGAAGCTGACTTTGCCTGAGGGCCAGAAACAACAAGTTCAAATTGATAAAACAAATTCTGAAGAGGTCTGTAAGGTAACATTAATCGGTTTTCCTGACATGCTACTTCTCTTGAGTTTATGGTTTTTTACGTTACAAAATTGCCCTAAAAAAACCCAAACAACAAGCAAGCATTATCAAGACTATAAAGAAAGACATAGAGGTGCTATCACCACAAAATGCATTCACTAGCATTTTAATTTTATTTTAAGAAGGGACAAATTTTTCACAATATTATGGGGCCAATGGGCTTTAAAAATGGAACTTTTGAAAACTTCAGAAACAGAAAATCCCTTCCCTTTTCAAGCCTATCACTGGTGTTCCTACCATATAATTCCCTCACTTTCCATCCTTGAGGCATACCTTTGGATGAAACGATCAGTCCTTCCTGAGGTTAAATAGCTGAATACTCACCGAAACCTGGCCATTGATAATTACTTCTTCTGAGAAGCGCACTTTGACAGGATTGGACTTCAATCTTGCCTTTTTTGCAGCACTAATAAAAGCTGATTTAGGAGACTGGAAGGAAAAATGATGACAAGATAAATCACATAATTTCAAGTTAAAACCTATCTTTCCTTTTTCAGTTGTTTCCCCTGTTTCTCACACATTGGGAACTCCATGTTTACAGCAACACTTTGCAAACCAGTCACCGAAGAATGGAAATACAGTTGAACCGTAATGCTTCCTGAGATAATACATATGCACATACACATAAAGAATCACTGATGCATACTGCATATACTGAAAGTTATCCCACTGTCAGACTGGAGTGATGAGAAGGGCTCTCAGTGTACATACAAATTCCTTGTAGTGCTTCCACAATGACTGCTGTCAAACAAACTTCTTCACATGAATGGACACTGACCAGTGACCAGCCAGTGACCCTTCCTTCACACAATGAACAGAAATTTTTCACATAATCTATGATCCACTAGATAGAGAAATACAACTTCTGGGGAAAAAAAAAAAAAAAAAAAAAAAAAGTCCGAGCTCTCCAAGCACAGTGGTGTCTCACTCTTTCAGTCCAGTTCAAAACACAGGCTGGGCCACCAAAAGGCACCTGCAGGTTAGTAGGTTTCCCCTGAACACATCCTCTGCACAAGCTCTGTGAAAGGCTTGGCTACAATAGATCAGATACTTTGTGGGACTTCATGGACTGGAAGTCCAGAAACATTCTTAATTTTCTTCTGGGACCTAATTTTTTTCTGGGACTTTTTACCTACTACATTATTCAATGGATTCATGTGTGATCAAGTGTTCAGCCCTTAGAAAAAAAATTCCCTCTCCATTTGAGAAGTTTGACTAACAACGCATTTGCAGTAACAAATTAAATATTCATAGTCAATGGGATTTCCATTTTGAGCAGCAGGAGCAAGGTAGTTTTATTCTCAGGTCAGTTAGAAAAACACTGCTTTTGGCACTGCCTGACTCCGTAACCACGGTAATGGGCAATGGAAGAAATCCTGGCTTTGGGTGAAAATAACATACCTCCTTTGGGCTAGGTTTTGGTCCACTGGTTTCAGTAAAATGTGAATTAAGATTTTCAGAATCTTATCCTAACTCCTGAGAAGTGGCCTCATTGGTTTTGGCCTGGAGAGACTAATTCATGTTGCTCTGCCTGTGAGAAATTAGTTCAGGCATCAGTGATGATGATCCTGGAATAACTTCCTGTTATCTATGTGGCAAGACAGCCATCCTTGTAAACACACAAAGTCTTGTCACCATCACTCAAATTTTGACTCGACCAACAATCTGCAGGAGTGATGGAGTAGTTCAAGTCCATGTGTTCTTGTCATCCCTGATCCCTGCTGAAACTGCTTAAAAAGTTGTGGGGTTTTTGTTTTTTGTTTTTTGGGGTTTTTTTGGTGATACAGAAACCTTGTTTCTAGAAATTAGTAGGAAGAAGTCTTTAGCTCATTTCTGTATGTCAGTGATTTATCATTGCATTGAAATGTGGTAACTATTACCATAAGCTCAGTATCAACCAGTGAACAAGGAATGAAAGATGCCACATTCTCCCAGGAAATATCAGAGCCAACTGATAATTCCTGGAGCACAAAATAGAACCAAGAAATAAAAATGAATGCCTCTTCACTTTTACAGCTCATTCTTTCTTACCTCTTCTCTAGCAGCTACAACCATAGATCTTTTTAACAGTAACAGTAAATAACAGAAAATTCAACCCCAAGATCAAACCCAGCTCAGCTTCCGAAGCCAGTGCTGAAAAAATACAAAGGACCCCAGCAGATTAGAAGCAACAACCAAAAAGAAAGAAAGAAAAAAGGTTTAGTTTTTTTTTTTTTCTTTTTAAAGTTAATGTCTCAGGGTGAGTGACCCAAAACACTTCTGCAGTAAGAAGAGACAACATGGAAACGCTGAAGAAGCATGCTTGCCTATAGTACTCTAGAGATGAACTCCTAGAAAGACCCAGCACACAGTAATATCATGAATACTTGAATACTGTGTTCAGTTTTGGGCCCCTCACCACAAGAAGGACACTGAGGTGCTGGAGCAGGTCCAGAGAAGGGCAACGAACCTGGTGAAGGGTCTGGAGCACAGGTCTTCTGAGGAGCAGCTGAGGGAGCTGGGGTTGTTTAGTCTAGAGAAGAGGAGGCTGAGAGGAGACCTTATCACTCTCTACAACTACCTGACAGGAGGTTGTAGTGAGGTGGGTGCTGACCTCTTCTCTAAAGTAACAAGCAATAGGACAAGAGGAAATGGCCTCCAGTTGCGCCAGGGGAGGTTTAGGCTAGATATTAGAAAAAATTTCTTCACTGAAAGAGTGATCAGGCATTGGAACAGGCTGCCCAGGGAAGTGGTGGTGTCACCATCCCTGGAGGTGTTCAAGAAACGTGTAGATGTGGTGCTTAGGGACATGGTTTAGTGAGTTAGGTGGTGTTGGGTTGACGGTTGGACTTGATGATCCTTGAGGTCTTTTCCAACCTTAATGATTCTATGATTCTATGATTAATATAATAATTGACATACGCCTTTTCTAATTTCCCTGCGCTCCACATAGTCCCTTTCTGCAGTGTGTAAGTGGGATAGTCTATATGGCATCCAAGCAATGGACTGCAACCTGTCGATTCCCACTGCCACGGGGCAACACACCTATAGGAGTAGGCTGACTGGCCCTCCTTTGCAAGAGCAAGGGGAAAAGAGTGTCTTCCACTTACTCTTCTTGCTGGAAGAGGCTTTGTACAGCTGTTTGCTTTTATTGCAGATGAGTCACCAGCCTGGCCTCTCTTTACAGGCAGACTAATTTTCTTCCAGATTCTGGCAAGGTTATTCCCATACAGCAAATGTGGCAAACCACTATGTGGCTCTGTTGCTCTCTCTTTTCCTCTCTAAAACCTCTCCTTTTATCTCTCTACAATGTTAAAAGTCACTTGCGGGGGACATAAACGCTTAAATTATGTTATTGCAAAAATGTGACACAAGAGTCCAACATGACTGAAAGATTTGAACATAAGTGAGTTCCCAAGAGTCCCTCCAAGACACGGAGTTTAATGTACATTATTGCACAGCCAGGGGAGCACGCCATGGTCTGGCATAAAATGTATGGCTTCCATCCCTGCCCACTTCTTCTGTGGCAACGTGGGGAGGACTCTGGCCCCTGGCCAGACACTCTGGGTGAGCCTGGAAGCAGACTGCTCTCTAAACATCTTCTAACTCTAAACCAGGGGTGTAAGAAAAACTAGAACAGCTGCACCAAGTATTTGGGGGAATGTTCTCTGCTGGTTAAAGGTTTGAGTAATAGCACAGCTTTTGCATTTAATGGCACAATCTCATTGTTTCTACTTCTGCATCAACTTGGCACTTGGCATTTTCTCTTTGAGAAACGAGCTGTTTCTCAGAAGTGCAGCAAATAGCTAGGAAAACAGTTGGGTTTGATTGTCAAAACTTACTTGTCTTACAAACCATCAGCAAGATGATGTGCTGCTCTAATCTATTTTAATGTTTTCAGGTTTGTAGGTGAAGAATGCTAAAAATTAATGATTCTCAGAGTGCCAGGTTCACTTGTTTCTGATACTCCGTCTTTTAGCCAAATGGAAGCCATTATCCTCAGTTAATGACCTTAAGCAGGAGGTGTTTATACTAATGCAGAACATTTATCTTGGCAAGTAAAGTATTTTCATTGTCACAGATAAAAACAGCTTAATTAGAGTGATTTTTTTTTTTGCAAAATGACGGCACACATTTTAAGAAGGAGTCAAAATAGTTCAAAACCCCACAAACGTCATACTGTGTGACCTAAGCACTGTTTCCTGTTAAAAGCGCAAATTTATCAGGAATTTAAATAATTCTTACTTGTTTATGCAGAATTCAGTAAAAATTCAGCTGATCATTTCAACACTGCCTGGAGAAACTGCTAACAAGAGAAATGAAGCATTGAGTATAGATTTGCTTGGAGGAAATGATTGTGAAGACCGAGACCCTCCTTTGAACCCTGCTTACTAGGGACTGCAATCAATGGGCATCCCATCAGCAGCGTCAAAACATGAGAGACTGCTGTAACACAAGGAGGCTTTCTGGAAAATGTTATTTTTCTCATTTTCTGGACTTTTCAAAATTAGGTCCTATTTTTGTCAGCAGCATTATAGCAGGTCATTTTGGGATAGATCTTAGAAATAATATTCTTAATTTTGAGGGAAACTGTTTTTCAGTGAAAATAAGAATGTCTAGTACTTTGTGTGCTTTTGCGGGTAAACTATAATTTGCGGGAGATTCCAAATGAAATGGTGTTTATTTGCTGCATAAGCCACTTTGAATGCTCTTTCCAGTAGAGGCGCTGCAACAACCAAACCTTTACTCATGCTCAAGAAAGAGAAGGATTTAGCATTTAGAAGAGGATAGTGTACTACTGAGCTACATAAAGAAACAAAAAAAGGCAGCAATATGGGACAATCACAAGGTGAAAATAAAACCTGCTTTGTGATAACAAATATCAAAATCAGACAGAAATACTGTAGTTTTAAATAGCCACAGATTGCATATATACAATCAATTTTATGCTTATTACTTAAAAGTAGCCATTAGTCTAATATGAAATACTATGTTTGTTGGGAAATAAGGAAAAATTGCATGACCACAAAAATGTGTTGACTTTTTGGACCATCCCTAAAGGCGATTATGTGAGACAAAATTTAGCAAGCAAATAAAACATGAATAAGAGGAAGAATTAAATTTATTAAGTGGAACAGTACATATTGCCCAAAGGCAAACTAAATACTTTCACTCATAGCTGTGAGCAAGGCTGAAACAACTATACTGGCTCACAAGAGCATTGTAGAAGGGCAGGTAGGGACAAAGAAGCAATAATGTGGGGAAGTTTTACCATGCAGTAATTTGTTAACACCACAGGGCACTGACAGATCATCATCAGGAGTATTCGTTAAACTCTTGGCAGAAATTTAATTGCTGAAATAGCAGTCAGATTTGGGTTCTCTCTTTAAAAGATGGTTGTCTATCATAGACAATTATATTTTACTATTTGCATTATTCATACTTTACTGTTGTGAGATGGTATTCACAGTTTGATCATTGGTTCTATACATGTATAACATGTACCTGTAAAGTGGGGAATAGCCAAACCTTACTTTAATGCAGGCATTGAGAAAATCTAATCCACTCCATCTACAGCAAATGACAGCCTGGTTTACTGTGATTGTCCCAAATACCGTAAGTGAAACCACAGGTCAGCTTCAGACTTTGTGGAACATGAAGACGTTGCAGCTCATCTCATAACTAGATGGGCTTGGGACACCTATCTCTGCGTTTATTAAATGTGGAGGTCCTCCATAAAATCCCCTCCACTGGCCTTTAGGATTCTGCCTCTCCAAAGTTCATCCCTTTACGTTCATGGATTACTCCTTTACAGTCACAATTACCTCTCATACACAGATGACTGCACTTGAAGTACAGAAAATTACAAAGAAAGTCAGCCACAGCACACTACATTCAGCCCTACAACTCTGTAAGGATGAGAACCTTTGGGAATGCAAGAAACCTTCACCCCACACAAACCCAGGCTAAAATGAACAAATGAAGGACTATTTGAATGACAATGCACCTGGGATGGGAAAAAAGGCTAATGAAGAGGGAAAAGAGACCTAATGGCAAC